TTTACTGATTATCTCTGGGTGCTCTCATTGCCAGTGATAAATGGAGAATCTCCTCAATAAATCATGTTGCTTGATGTGCCATAGAGCGGGGTGAGTGGAAATTATTATTTGCACACAGATGTTTGTACATTACCAATGTTTGATGCACAATTAAGAAATTAGGAGATATGATATTAACAAATTTATTTAAAATAGTATAAGATATGAATGTTAATTTGTTTTTAATTTTGCTGTTATAAATTACTTTCTAATGTTAGTTCTTTAAAAATGTGTGTATTAAATTGCAAAATGTGTGAAATAACCTTTACATTGTTACCTTTTCATATTTCTTAACTTTACGTCTTTGTGCTGTGTGGATGCAATGTAGAGAAACAAAGTTGAGGAAAAATATTTTTCTGGCAAAATTATCGGTGTTTTTGGTCTATTAATGATTGTTCCAGATTTGCGTAGCGTCAATCGCAATCCCGTAAAAAAGTAGAGAGAGAAAATTCCGCTAAAATATTGTTTTGGCAAAATCGTTTTTGTTCCAGGTTGTTCTCGGTCTATTAATGATTGTTAGAGATTTGCGTAGCAATTAGTCAATCGCGACCTCGTTAATATATATTTAATTTTGAACAAAAATATGAACAATTAGTACAAATTGGATGTCTATCAATAAAATATTGAATTTCCAAAAATGGGTGGCTTTAAAAAAAGTGTTTTTTGCCAGACAGCTTTAATTTTTTGGTTTTTAATAAAAACTGGCAAAATGTAGAACAGACATAGAATAATACAGAACAACCTAGACAATAACAAATTTTTAAAACTGGGGGCTAAATTCCTGTTAAAGCCTACTAACATCTAATTTGTCTGGTGGTGGGATATCAAATTTTCTTTGAACGCCAAATCAATGATATCAAAGGCGAAATTAATTCATTCCTCTTAAATTCTCTTGTATTAGAACGCGTCTTTGCAAGCTTTCGCGGAGAGCCATTTTGTATCCAAAAACGAAAACACTACAATTGTAACGCAAATCTTACACGACCCCGATTTCATATCAAGAATTACTGTCAGTATGACAATTATTATGTCGACTTAAGAAGAAATCCCTTCTTTCACAACACAATTGTCGTTGAAGTAATATATTGACAATTGTAACAAAATGCCTGTCATTTTTATGACATAATACGTCTGTTGCATATGTCGAGTTGATGAAATAGAACCCTGGAAACGATGCGCTCTTGTCGATACGGGACCTTAAGCTTGTCTGTTTGCTAAGCTGCCCCACACTGAGGTGAGTCCATCAAATTTTATTGAGATAAATAAGCGTTTGTTGAGATTTGATCAACGGTGCCTTCGACTCTTTATTTTACTAATATATTTCTGTTTTATACTTCTTAGTAGAAGCAGAACATAGCGGATTTATCGCTTGAATTGGAGCGCTCCTCTGGGGAAGTTGCCTCCACCTTACAGTAGACCACAGTAAAATAATACTACCTTTTGGTGGTGTTGTGTTTCTGTCGGTGAGTAAGGTTCCAGGGATTCAGTCAGGGTAGGCAGCGGTGCGAGTGATATTTTTAGTATCGCAAGAGTCTATATATAAGAGTATAGAGAGTATAGAGTATATATCTATGGTATCCGCTTACCATCATGTAGCCATAGGCTTATTTGCCGCCTTATTAACTAATTCGCGATCGCAGTGGTCCGAACTGGTTCGACATATCGTGTCCATGAGCGGTGTCTATGTTTGCGTTGCCCAAGCGCACTTTGTATGTAGATTACCTTCCATTATGTCTATTTTGTGGCCATGCCTACGAGATGTTTTGCAATATGGCATTTGCAAGCTCAGACTTTATTCATTGCGGATCTCAGTGCTGGTAAATTTTTTAATGGCCAAAAGTACCAAGCTTGTAGTAAAAAGGTATAGATAATTTCGCATCTAATAACGTTTAAAAAAGGCTTGCCTAAAACAATGCAATCAAAGCTCTTTACTTCATCAGAAAAATCGTGGAATCATGTCGTACATCGACTTCTTTTTATTTTATGATAACATGTGTACGAAGTCGCGGGCACAGCTAGTTTATAATATAATTGTAGTAGGATTGGGAAGGCTGAAAACTATAGAACAGTGGTGAGCATGAGTATTTGTGTGGCAGAGTTAAGAAAAGTGATGGCGCTATCGAGGCATAGGTCAATGGCAACCTGGCGGCGCATCAAGGTAATAAATATGATTGGTTTTTGAATCAACATTTATGGAGACAAATAATTTATAAATAAAATATAATTCACAATTATCTTAACAGGATACGAGTTCAATTCTCGAAAATTTAGTGTGTTTTCCTTTTCTTTTATTTTCAGTGAACACTTAATGAATTAAGTGTGCGAAAATCCTACAACCGATAATTGCATGTATATTTTTATCATAGTATAAAATATAAGGTTCTTTGAATATATAAATCTAGAAATTAACTGCATTGATAAAATATACTAAACTTTTCTGTCTTATATTTTTATTGTTAACTAGCGGCCCGCCCGTGCTTCGCTTCGGTGTAGAGTTGAAATGTAGACTACAGTTTTTGTTCTCAGGCTTGTTTTATACACAATGACATTCATCTATGATTCTTCTTATACCTGCATGCAAAGTCTCAGCCCGATCGGTTTAAAATTGACAAAGTTTCATACAAACTTCCCTTCATTCCCTATCTTATCCCCTTGGGCGTAGAATTGATCAATATCCTTTCTTAGCGAATGCCTACGTCATAACATCTACCTGCATGCCAAATTTCAGCCCGATCCATCGAGTGGTTTGGGCTGTGCATTGATAGATCACTATGTCAGTCAGTCACCTTTGATTTTTATATAAATATATAGATGTTAAATCAATAAAAAACTTAAGTTACAAATATGCTTAAAACAAAAACATACTATACCTATGGCTTTCGTTAGAAACTTGTTAATCTGAAGCTTTTAATTGCCTATGTTGATTTTTATTATACTTGTAAACAACATTTTTTCGTTTTACTTTGAGTTATTCATAAATATACTTCTTATAACAGACTACAGACCAATAATCATGTTATTATATCCATTACAGAAGAATCCTCTCATGAAATTTGTGATTAAAATTATTTTAGCGTGGGATTCCGTTTTCCACATCAAGATAATTTCAACGTATCACGTGGCATTTTAAGGAAATGTACTTGTAAATGAGAAGGTGTTTTTTACTTAAACGTTAATTAAGATCGTAACGAGATCTGCCAACTTCCAAAATATAATTAGAGGTGAATTTGTTAAATGAACTTGTGGCATTAAATATAACTTCTGCTTTGTTGTAACATTCAAAGACTAAATGACTTTGAATATCAAACAAAGAAAGCCCTCGCACACAGTACGTTAGGCGTGTCAGTCGAGATGCCAAGCGACAAAGCATGTATTTAATTTGAAAATTTTACCAGAACACTAGGGACAATAATATACCGTCTAATACCTATAGCTGGTGCGCTAGTTTGAAGAACATTTGTTTTTTTTATCGACTCCCCTTTTTAGATAAGCTTAGTAAAGAAAATTAATGAACACGAAGTTTCAAACGTGTATTCCTTTTTGTAATAGTCTTGTAATGGCGTCGCTGCTGACATGATTCTTAAACTTAAAACTCAATTAAACATCAATCTCTTCTTTTCATTCTGTATTGAGAATAACGAGGGTACACTGTTTGTCAAATTTAATTTTAGGTTAAGAGAATCATGCCAGAATCGACACCATCACCATTATTTATAGTAATCGTAAGTAACGGATTATCTTGAATTTGGTATAACATTTTTCCATAGAGTAAAAAATTCTTAGTTATTAAAAAGCATCAAGTGCCTATATTCATGCCTATATTGAAGTGAAAACTTTTTTAGGCGCGTTGGGCATTTTTGAAAAGGGAAAGCCCATTGAACTTGCGCCACTGTAAGTATTTTTTTCAAACCGATACCACTAACCTTTTTAGTTATCACACTTTTTAATTGAAATAAAGTAAAAATTAACGTTATTCGAGTTGACTTATAAAAAGCTCTGTTGAATTTTTTCCGCTCTTGACATCTTAGCTGACAGGAAAAATAGGTACAAGAAACTTCTTAGCCTGTAACGTAGTAGCAACATTTACATAACAATATATCATTATAAATTCAATCATAATTACATCATTTCTCATAAATCATTATATTTTTATTCAACTACCAGATTTGCATATGGAAATATTTTATTCAAAAGAATTTCGAGACGGCTTAGCCTGGAATCGAACCAGCTTCCTTAACTGTCTGGACAAATGTACTTGACCACTTTGCTATCGAGGCTTTATCGGACCTGTTGAATTTATTCATTATTAGGCTGTCTTGCTTTCTTCGTTGTAAAAAACCACAACGTCCTCTAGGATACTTTTACAAGTAGCAAATATTCCAAAAAGAAATAGCAATGTATGTCATGTCATTGTCAGATTTCATATCTGTTAAAAACACGTTTGTAGTTTAAGCATTTGATTATATTCTGAAGCAGCAGCAGAACGAAGAAGTTTTCAGAAAGCCCGTGTAGTATCTGGAGCACAGTTCAAAGTGGAACTCAGTCAAACGTTGGTGGTACAATCTAATTGTGAAACTTAGTGGTTCGACGTAATGCTAAGAACAAAATTGTTAATGACAAACTTGTGTGGCTTAGAAAGTGGAATTCGCCGGGTACCTTGCACTTTCTGGAATGTTTTTGCTAAGAGTGTTTTGCGGATGCGGGGCACTGCTGCTATTGTTTTGTGTATGTCTGTTAAGTTTTGAACTGGACTTGAATGCCAATATTTGTATCCAATACAAAAATGGAGTAATATTTGCTTTATTATAAATTAATACGTAATTCAAATATTTTAATAAATTGTAGTTCAGCAATAAACACGTTAGATCAGGGGTGCTAAAACTTGAACTGCTGGCGACAAAATTTTTAGACTACTTACGATCGACTCTGAAAGGCTGCAAGTATGTGTGATGCAGGGTTGTCGTACGTACACGATACCCCCACCTACCTACCTACGTAGGTAGAGTGTAGTACACCATGCTACAGTAGTAGCATTAGGTAGATATTAGCTGTCCGCATAATACACATTATTTTGTCAAGGTTTGGGTTAGGTTTAATTAGAGTCTTCTCTACAATATCAATGAAAAAACTCATAGTTATTCAAAATTGCGAGTTTATAAGTTGTTACAAAACAAGAGTTACATATGGTGTTAAACTTAACTAAGGAGTGACTTTGTATGCTGAACCGTGGCACTGCATGTCCTCAGCATACTTTTCATAAGTAGGTACATAACCACTGATTGCTAATCGCAAGCATGATGACATATGATCGTCAGTTAGTTGAATGCGATATTTTGACTTAATTATCTTCATTTCAGAAAATGCAGACTCGCACAAGTAAGTTGACCCAAACATTGTCGTTAGTTGAAGAGCGATTTTCCTTAGATTCGGATATTTATATACAAATATAAAACACCAGAAATTTTTATCAGATGCTGTAGCTTTAATATGTATATCTGATATAATCTGGATCAACTCATTTTCAACAGAACATGAGTTCATATTAAACTGACTTACTATTTCAGTAAATAATTCTTCAATGTTTTTACATGAAAAAGGATAACTCATAAATGATGCTATATTTGCTTATTAACTGCTATCATAAAAACACATTTCGAACTGTCCCAAAATATTTGATAATTCAGCCTCATACGTATCATAATTCAACTGAGGAGTTCTTCCTTTCAAAGACGGAAAATGTTTCAGATCCTTTCTTTTAAGTATATCTATCATAAGTTACAATTTACTTTTGAATGCGTTTACTGCGCTAATCATCTAAATAATAGGTTTTCCTATGGTTTTCCTTTACCTCGAAGCTCCAAGTTATTGGTGTTTACGTGCATTGTGATGTCAGTCAAAAATGCCAAATCAGTCAGGCATTTTTTCGTTTTTCAACATTTGAGTGTCATCACCTCTTTCGTCTAGAAAAACTGTTATATCGGGCAATAATTCTTGAAACCTTTCTAGGAATTTTCCGCGACTCAATCACCTGACGTCTGTGTGAAGAACTAAATCAGTGTGATAAGAAGACTCCCTATCTTCCAACTGCAACTTAAAGAGCCTCCGTTGCAAGCTACGTGCACGTGTGGAATTCACATTTTTTGTTGCAATGCCCATAATTTCCTCATTTCAAATTTTTTAACACAAAACTTGTTGATGTGTGAATGAAAAAAATGAAGGGAAATCTTTATTAGCTCGACACAATGCTACAAAACCGTTTTTGTTTCCAGTCATTGCTGGTGATCCATCGGTTGTAATGCACACTAATTTATATATTGGTAGCTTTTAGTTTTTTAAAAAATTGAAGAAAACGTCATAATAGCTTTGCCACGGGTCTTCCCCTTCAGAGGAATGATTGTCAAAAATTTTTCCTTAGCCAACATGTCATTGAATACCATCCGAATAAAAATACACAGCTATGCAGTGTCTGTCATATACATTCCATGATATCATGTTTTAGTTTATCTGCCATGTCCTGACTCATGATTTCAATACGCCTTGTGACAGTCGGACGAGATAACTGAAGTTCTCTAATAGCAGACATGATTTCTGTTTTATTTTTAAAATCTCCAAATAAAGTCTCACCCGCTTCTATAAATGCTTCCTTCACAACCGATCCATCTTCGAATGGTTTCTTGTGTTTTGCCAATATATGAGATATTTTAAATGACTCGATCGTAGCAGCTTTTGATTGTTTGCCGGGTCTTTTGAACATGGTTTGTTCTTTTTTCAAACAAATGCACTTATCCTTCACCATACAAAAGAAAAATTCTTCCTCCCAATCGTTATTAAAATAATACGTTTTAGATTTCTTCGCTGCACTCAGTTTGTACTAATTAATAATAAACTTTGTACCGACGTAGTATTACCTTCAAGTTCCAATTCAGAATGACTCCAAATCCTGCAGTCGCAACATATTAGCGTGGTCTCAAAGTCTCGAATGTTCCCGTCAAACGCGCCGCCCGAAATTTCTATAAAAGCGGCAAGAATAAAAAACGCGGCTTTTCTTTGACAAGTACCGCGCGTTCCTTTAATAAAGCCGCCTTTGCCGCTAGCAGAGTGTTATTTTATTACGTAATAATTTTTTGTAGTTTAGTTAAGTACCTACTTATTAAAAAAATCTTTCTTCTCGAAATCTACTTAAAAAGCACTCGCTATCGACTGGCCCGTGGACGATCCGACCGTTTGAGCACCCCTGCCTTAGATTTTAACTGAAGTGCATGAGAAAAGCTAAGCCCAACTGTATTATCATTATTCACAAAAATATTAAGAATATTTATAGATAAATCACCCCTTCCATTACCCTCTACCCCTATAAGTATTTCGATAATGTAGCTAAGAACCAAGGTTCCATCTATTTCTATAGGAAAATTCATCATAATCGATATATTTTTTCTTAGGTTTTCACGCACATCACTCATTAAATAAAACTAATTTTTACGGGTTAATGCACGAAACTTTATTTATTTATTAACGTTTCGTAGCCTTTACAGGCTACGTCGTCAGAATTAAACTTTTCTTTAATTTGTCGAGCTACCTTCGAAAGACTTTTATTGAGCGTTCGGTTATTTCATTGTTCGATTTTTAAAGTTTTATTGTCTATGTATGAATTTATTATTTAATAAAGTATTTTATTTAAAATTCTTTTTTGTAATTTTGAGTTTATTTATTTGACCCTAACTACCATAAACTACAATAACCTATGTTTACTATGACCCGTTTGATGTTTGTGGAGAGAAATAAATAAATTATTATTATTATTATTATTAATTAACAAGGTTTTTTTTTTTTGATTTAGCTATTAGGGCGCGAAAGCGTAACAAAAAACTCACTTTTACATCTTAATATCATAGATGCAAAAGTGAGTTTGTTTGTTAACAATATTATACTAGTGATCCGCTCCGGCATTGCATATGCGAAATTTATTTTAACGGAGTAAAATATAGCCTATGTCTCTCGCATATCATGTAGTTATAAAGAAAATATTTACTAAAAAATTCCTCTTGGAGAATTTTTCATAGTGGATTTTTTTAAAGTAAAAATTGCCTTTAGAATCATAAATCGAGCAGATTATTCAACGATATTGAGATTAATACTTGAAATATAATAAATAATGTAGCTTCCCTATGGTGAATGATTTTTTGAAATCGGTTGAGCTATTATTTGTTACTAACATACAACCTTTCTTTCTTTGTAATATGAGTAATGATAATTGGGCTAATAATGTTTAATTGATGAAAAAAAAATTAAAAATTAACTAAGTAATAGGTTTATTTGATTATATTTGTAAAAGTTACTTAGCATTTTGGTAGATTTAAAAAAAAGCCCGACTGCTTAAATATTGCTTCAAATAAAAACTGGAAAGAAAAAAAAATAACTCCAGTAGTCTATTATTTGTTAAGTAAAAAACAAAGCTAATTTAACAGTCGAGACACGTTATAATAAAAAAATGATCCATTCTTGAATATCTAATGGGTCCCGACTGTTAAAGTTGGTTTATTCCTTACTTAACAGAATTATAGACTACTACTGGACTTGTTTTTTTCTTTTCAGTTTTTATTTAAAGCAAGATTTAAGCAGTCAACTTTATTGATTTTTTTTTAAATTTACCTGTTTTATTTCCCACTTTTTAGTTAAGATTATAAGACGGTATTTTTATTTTAACAACAGACAATTATCCTGTACATTTGTGCGCAGGATAACTATTCACGGTAGGCCTTTTAATTTTTGTAAACGATTATGTCAAATGTAGGGAAAGAAAGGATATTGTAATTGTTTCCGTGGAACTGTCGCGTGTAGTTGAATTTTTTTGTATACACTTCTGGACACATCTATTGGCCCACCTTAGAGTTTAGGTTTCGATATATGATTGCTAGATTGAACAAAAACTGTTGATGCAGTTTTAAACCTGATACATTTTACCATCTTTTTCGATCGTATTGTTTTAAATTTGAATTCAGAATACCATACGACATGGAGCTACTCCTAACAAGTCGGATATGCGCCTTGTTAAAGGCAATTGATTTTTGAATAAAAAACATGTTTTATCAAATAAAGGTTTAATTTAATAACGCGTGTTGCCTCCATGGGCATCTACCACAGCTCTCATACGATTAGGCATAGAGTTTATCAAGCGCTCCATGAAATTTTGAGGGATCATCTCCCATTCCTCTTCTATGGCAGTTTTCAACTCCTGCATCATCTGGGCAACTGGCTGACGAGCCCTAACACGTCTTTTTAGCTCGTCCCACATGTGCTCAATGGGGTTCATGTCTGGGCTTCTGGCTGGCCAGTCCATAACTGTGATGTTCACATCCCGAAGATATTCCCTGACGATGCCGGCCGCATGGGCTCTTGCATTATCATGCATAAAAAGGAAATTTGGGCCCACATTTTCCGCGTATGGTATCACGTGAGGTTCTAAGCACTCACGAATGTACCTTTCAGCATTTAATGTTGGCAGCCGTGGTCCTGTAACAACCTCAAGTTGAGTTTTGCCGCTCGCGGATATACCACCCCAGACTGTCCATAAGCCACCGCCATAAGCAACCCTCTCTTCAAAGCAGCATTGTGCGAAACGCTCTCCCTTACGTCGGTAGACCTTCTTCCTTCCATCATTGCCATGTTACACAATTTTAGACTCACCAGAAAAGAGTACACGACTCCAATCTTGCTGTGTCCAATTTAAATGACTGCGTGCGAAATGAAGGCGCGCTGTTCGGTGGGCTCGCGTTAGTTTGGGCCCATTAGCTGGCTTGTTTGGTACCATATCGCGTTCTTTTAACCTTCTCCGAACAGTTTGAGCGCTCACAGATACTCCGTGGAAGTCGCGAATTTGTTTTTGTATCTCAGGTAAGGTGACGATTTCTCAAGCTGATCGTCACGATGAATCGATCCTGCCTTTCAGTTGTGACCCGAGATCGTGGGCTTCCTTGGCGACGAACAAAGCCGCCAGTCTCTAGGTACCTCCGATAAACATTTTGGACAGCAGATCGACTTAAATTAAGTTGAGCACTCACGTTTCTTTGGCTGTGTCCGGCCTGAATAAGTGCCACAGCTTGGGCGGCGACTACAGGTGAAGTATCCATAGATTATTGATAGAACCTCACCTTAATGTTAAGAATAAGTAATGTTTGTTGCAAAACCAAAGATATCAATCACTTTTTCAAGAATTAAATCCAAATAAACCAATAAAACCAAGTTTTCTTAGTATTCGATTGTTTGATATCAACAAACAGGCTCCAAATTGTCTTTTGTTTCTTTAAATTCTGTGTTCGAAATTCAAAAAAAGACTATTGAATGAAATTGTGAATATGCCAGGTTCAAAACTGCATAAAAACTTTTTGCTCGACCTAATATAAAATTTTAGCTAGGACCAAACGAAACTGAAAATACAAGGTGGGCCAATAGAAGTGTCCAGAAGTGTAGTATGTGGATACCGGCGCATTTTAGGAAACTTTAGAATATTTGAATCGGTGATGGAGCACAAACTTAATAAATTAAAAAGTAAGGCTGTAATAGTTTGTGGTAATTTCAATGTCAATTTACTTGAAAGCAGCTCTAAGTCTTCGGTTAACTTCTTTGATTAAATATTTTAACTTAAATTTCCAATTCACTGTACCTATTAGAGTAACATTTCACTCAGCTACGTCTTGTTTTTTCTTAGTTGAATGCTATTGAAAAGTCTGTTTTTAGTGATATTTTACATCCGATCATCGCGGATTAAGGACCACCTATAATTTCAACGTTATTAATGAGCCCAACATAACAGAATGCAGATTGCAGATCTGTGAAATATGTAATGTTTAAATAAAAAAAATAGCATTAACTAAAACGACATTCGGCTGTGATTTCAGAAGTCCTTTAACTAGGTATCAACTCCTTACCCTGATACACAACGAACAATGATATGTCACTTGAAATACGGAAATTTTGAAGGTAGTAGGTATATAAATGTAATGAAAAAATAACTCGTATTCCCTTTACTTCTGCTCGCCTCCCTGAGCCATAAAAATACATTGTCCGCCGACCGGTAGGTACTTCACAATCAGCCGCTGACGCGACGCGAACGTGTTAAAGGGCGCGTTCCCCAACTAGCTGGGAACAGGCGGAATCTCAAGGGAGCATTGTTTTCGGTCACTGGTGTAGGCTTGTTTTAAGGAATCTCCATCCTCGAGATATTCGGAATTCGACAAATTGTATTAACTCCTCTTTTTAATCATATTAAGTGAAGTTGTTAC